GTATTTTAAATTTCCTGATCTTTGCAAATCTCCCAATAGTGACATGGCCAGAAGGAGGAGGGGCCAGCCTACAAAAGATACCGTCTACTTACCATCTTAACAAAGGACAGAAACATCAAAATGCAGGCATCTGACTACCATCGCTAAAACATCTTATCATATAAAGAAGCCAGTGGAGCTTCAAAAGTCTGAAACAAGTATTTTGATTGGCCAATAAAGGTATCACTGTTTGGTGGATTTTTGTTTGAACCCAAACCTGTGTTTGACTATTTCAAAGTGAGTGCACAATCAGCATTATAGCTATTCCATCCCTTGTTACTTACAGATGCTTTGGGTTGGTTATATTCTCTGGGGTAGGATCTTATAAAATGTTTATTATTTTGAGACAGCTTTCCAAGAACACAACAAAGGGAAAGAAAAAAAGAACAAATGATATTTTTGGCATTAATGACAATGCAGCCTCCAGCCAGGTGATTTACTTTGGGGAAATCATAACAGTGAGCTATGAATGATGGATAAGAGCAGCAAATAAACCAAAAGGTAAGCAAATCATTTTGGTTAATACATTGCATGAGTGAGGAATGTCTGGCCCTCAAGATGTTTGGGTCCATTACTCTCATTGGGTTTATCCAATATGGCCATTGGTAAGATTTATGGGAACCATAGTCCTAACCATCAGGCTCAAGCTTTCCCATCTTAGATTTATAAGACAATGGAGAGTTTGGAGTTGAAGCTTGACCCCACCATGTCAGTATAAGTCTGGATCTTGTTATGGGGATAAGAGCAAAGAACAACATGGGGGATGCTATGGTACCTAGAAGTGATGCTAGCAAATGCAGATATAAATTCTTACAACATGAATCTTTGTTAAATAGGTACTCCAACTTTTCATCAAATGTTGTTCAAGGAATCATACCTACAAGCCAAGAAAACATGTGTAAGAAGACATGGCAGTGGTAAAGAGTTGCATGCACTTTCAAGAACAATAGCTCAAGAACTTGAAACATTTGGCTTTCTTTCTCATGATCTCACACATGAATCTTGTCCTTCATCATATCACAGCACTTGCATGCTTAAATTTGTTCTTATTGTGATGTGTCTTCAAGCGATTTTTGACTTACGGCAACTCTATCATGGGATTTTCTTGGTAAGTTTCATTCAGAAGGGGTTTTCCATTGCCATCCTCTGAGGCTGAGAGTATCTGACTTGCCCACAGGGTTTCATGGCCAAACAGGGATTCGAACCCTGGTCTCCAGAGTCATAGTCTAACATTCAAACCACTACACCAGGGATAGGCAACCTTTCCCCTTTAAGGGCCAGGGGACTTCAGCTCCCAGAATCCCAGGAGCTATTGGCCAACATGGGACTATTAGCCAGCATGGCTGAGGCTTCTGGGAGCTGAAGTCCCTCGGCCCTTAAAGGGGAAAGGTTGCCTACCCCTGCACTACACCATGCTAAAATACAAAAAGAATATTCTCCTTATCGAGATTCATCTCTATCATGGACATTCAGACAACAGGGTTAAAACATTTTAATTTGCCAAGGCTTTTAATTGATTCCATTCTAGTGCACCATTGCTTTTACTTATTTTATTGACTGTTGCTTTGTCAATTTGGGCTCCTGCTTGTATCTATTTTGTGCTCTTTTAAAAATAGTTCTTTTTAACAGTTTTAATTTGTATTGGTAAATAGTTCGTTATTTTTATGACCATATGTTGGTTTCGAGACTTTTAGTGGGAAAGCAACTCATAAATATTTAATAAACACATAAATGAAGAGGTGATAAGCATCCCATTTTTCTGTACACACACTGTGTGCCAGCAACCTTCTTCACAAAGCTGTTTCCATCATGATAGAAATGTCTGCTGTCCTTTAGGGATTGGTGGAGAGATTTCTTATTGATCTAATCCAAAACTTGGTCCTGATCAAAGTAAATATTGCTTTCGAAATGAAAAATTCCTGAATTTGGCTTGTGCAAGTATTCCCCAGTTCAGTTTGGAGCCCAATTCCATTATTTGGACTGGGTCCTGATTCAGTCTTAAATGATTCAGATACAATCCAACCCATTTCAGAAATCTAAGGACTATATCACATGTGGGTGTTAAACCAAAATTTCAGCAAGAGAATAGCATCTTTGACAGTACCTATTGAATGATGTTGCCTCTAGTCCATTGCTTCTGTGCCTCTGAAGCATTGTGAGAGGGTATGGCTTTTTGATGTTATATTTATAGTTTTAAGTGGTTTTGTATTGTTTTTAATTTGCATGGTTTTAAATTTGCCATGAGCCAACCTGAGTCCCTCAAGAAAGTCAGGATATAAATAAATATAATAACAGCAACAGCAACCATGTCAGAATTTTGCACAGAACAGGCTTCGTGAATAGGCTTTGAAAACTGCATGGTTTTTTAAGTCTCTCTCATCAGAAAGAAAAATTCTAAAATTAATTGTTGCATCCTTACAGGGAGAGCCAGTGTGGCTTGAGTGTTGGAGAATGTCTCTGGAGACCAGGGTTTGAATCCAGGCTTGGCCATGAAACCTACTGGCTGACCTTGGACAAGTCACACTCTCTTAGAGGATGACAATGGCAAACCCTCTCTGAAGAAACTTGACAAGAAACCTCCATGATAGGATCATCTTAGGGTTACCATAAATCAGTCTTGAAGGAACACAACAAGAACAATCCTTAGACCTCATTCACATTCACCTTTTTCTGTTGAGGAGATCCGGGGTCTCCTCAGGGATGCCACACCGAATCGATCAGGGACATAATTCCCACTATGTTTACCCTGATTAAATTGCTCTTTGCAGTTCACACTGCAAGGGACTTGGCGGTGGCAGCGGTGAGG